TCAGGGCGTCAGGGCGTCAGCGCCCCAGGGCGTCAGGGCGTCAGGGCGTCGGGCGTCAGGGCGTCAGGGCGTCAGCGCCCAGGGCGTCAGGGCGTCAGGGCGTCAGGGCGTCAGCGCCCCAGGGCGTCAGGGCGTCAGGGCGTCAGGGCGTCAGGGCGTCAGGGCGTCAGGGCGTCAGCGCCCCAGGGCGTCAGGGCGTCAGGGCGTCAGGGCGTCAGCGCCCCAGGGCGTCAGGGCGTCAGGGCGTCAGGGCGTCAGGGCGTCAGGGCGTCAGGGCGTCAGGGCGTCAGCGCCCCAGGGCGTCAGGGCGTCAGGGCGTCAGCGCCCCAGGGCGTCAGGGCGTCAGGGCGTCAGGGCGTCAGGGTCAGCCCCAGGGCGTCAGGGCGTCAGGGCGTCAGGGCGTCAGGGCGTCAGGGCGTCAGCGCCCCAGGGCGTCAGGGCGTCAGGGCGTCAGGGCGTCAGGGCGTCAGGGCGTCAGGGCGTCAGCGCCCCAGGGCGTCAGGGCGTCAGGGCGTCAGGGCGTCAGCGCCCAGGGCGTCAGGGCGTCAGGGCGTCAGGGCGTCAGGGCGTCAGGGCGTCAGCGCCCCAGGGCGTCAGGGCGTCAGGGCGTCAGGGCGTCAGCGCCCCAGGGCGTCAGGGCGTCAGGGCGTCAGGGCGTCAGGGCGTCAGGGCGTCAGGGCGTCAGGGCGTCAGCGCCCCAGGGCGTCAGGGCGTCAGGGCGTCAGGGCGTCAGGGCGTCAGCGCCCCAGGGCGTCAGGGCGTCAGGGCGTCAGGGCGTCAGGGCGTCAGGGCGTCAGCGCCCAGGGCGTCAGGGCGTCAGGGCGTCAGGGCGTCAGGGCGTCAGGGCGTCAGCGCCCCAGGGCGTCAGGGCGTCAGGGCGTCAGGGCGTCAGGGCGTCAGGGCGTCAGGGCGTCAGGGCGTCAGGGCGTCAGCGCCCCAGGGCGTCAGGGCGTCAGGGCGTCAGGGCGTCAGGGCGTCAGGGCGTCAGGGCGTCAGCGCCCCAGGGCGTCAGGGCGTCAGGGCGTCAGGGCGTCAGGGCGTCAGGGCGTCAGGGCGTCAGCGCCCCAGGGCGTCAGGCGTCAGCGCCCAGGGCGTCAGGGCGTCAGGGCGTCAGGGCGTCAGGGCCGTCAGCCCCAGGGCGTCAGGGCGTCAGGGCGTCAGGGCGTCAGGGCGTCAGGGCGGTCGGGCGTCAGCGCCCCAGGGCGTCAGGGCGTCAGGGCGTCAGGGCGTCAGGGCGTCAGGGCGTCAGCGCCCCCGGGCGTCAGGGCGTCAGGGCGTCGGGGCGTCGGGGCGTCGGGGCGTCGGGGCGTCGGGGCGTCGGGGCGTCGGGGCGTCGGGGCGTCAGGGCGTCAGGGCGTCAGGGCGCAGCGCCCCAGGGCGTCAGGCGGTCAGCGCCCCAGGGCGTCAGGGAGTCAGGGCGTCAGGGCGTCAGGGCGTCAGGGCGTCAGCGCCCCAGGGCGTCAGGGCGTCAGGGCGTCAGGGCGTCAGGGCGTCAGGGCGTCAGGGCGTCGGGGCGTCAGAGCCCCAGGGCGTCAGGGCGTCAGGGCGTCAGGGCGTCAGGGCGTCAGGGCGTCAGCGCCCCAGGGCGTCAGGGCGTCAGGGGCGTCAGGGCGTCGGGGCGTCGGGGCGTGGGCGTCGGGGCGTCGGGGCGTCGGGGCGTCAGGGCGTCAGGGCGTCAGGGGTCAGCGCCCCAGGGCGTCAGGGCGTCAGGGCGTCGGGGGCGTCGGGGCGTCGGGGCGTCGGGGCGTCGGGGCGTCAGGGCGTCAGGGCGTCAGCGCCCCAGGGCGTCAGGGCGTCAGCGCCCCAGGGCGTCAGGGCGTCAGGGCGTCAGGGCGTCAGGGCGTCAGGGCGTCAGCGCCCCAGGGCGTCAGGGCGTCAGGGCGTCAGGGCGTCAGGGCGTCAGGGCGTCGGGGCGTCAGCGCCCAGGGCGTCAGGGCGTCAGGGCGTCAGGGCGTCAGGGCGTCAGGGCGTCAGCGCCCCAGGGCGTCAGGGCGTCAGGGCGTCAGGGCGTCAGGGCGTCGGGGCGTCGGGGCGTCGGGGCGTCGGGGCGTCGGGGCGTCGGGGCGTCAGGGCGTCGGGGCGTCAGCGCCCAGGGCGTCAGGGCGTCAGGGCGTCAGGGCGTCAGCGCCCCAGGCGTCAGGGGTCACGGCCCCAGGGCGTCAGGGCGTCAGGGCGTCAGGGCCGTCAGGGCGTCAGGGCTCCAGCGCCCCAGGGTCAGGGCGTCAGGGGTCCGGGCGTCAGCGCCCCAGGGCGTCAGGGCGTCAGGGCGTCAGGGCGTCAGGGCGTCAGGGCGTCAGCGCCCCAGGGCGTCAGGGCGTCAGGGCGTCAGGGCGTCAGCGCCCCAGGGCGTCAGGGCGTCAGGCGTCAGGGCGTCAGCGCCCCAGGGCGTCAGGGCGTCAGGGCGTCAGGGCGTCAGGGCGTCAGCGCCCCAGGGCGTCAGGGCGTCAGGGCGGTCCGGGCGTCAGGGCGTCAGCGCCCCAGGGCGTCAGGGGCTCAGCGCCCCAGGGCGTCAGGGCGTCAGGGCGTCAGGGCGTCAGGGCGTCAGGGCGTCAGCGCCCCAGGGCCGTCAGGGCGTCAGGGCGTCAGGGCGTCAGGGGCTCAGGGGTCGGGGCGTCAGCGCCCCAGGGCGTCAGGGCGTCAGGGCGTCAGGGCGTCAGGGCGTCAGGGCGTCAGCGCCCCAGGGCGTCAGGGCGTCAGGGCGTCGGGGCGTCGGGGCGTCGGGGCGTCGGGGCGTCGGGGCGTCGGGGCGTCGGGGCGTCAGCGCCCCAGGGCGTCAGGGCTCAGGGCGTCGGGGCGTCGGGGCGTCGGGGCGTCGGGGCGTCGGGGCGGCGGGGCGTCAGGGCGTCAGGGCGTCAGGGCGTCGGGGCGTCAGGGCGTCAGGGCGTCAGGGCGTCAGCGCCCCAGGGCGTCAGGGCGTCGGGGCGTCGGGGCGTCGGGGCGTCGGGGCGTCGGGGCGTCGGGGCGTCAGGGCGTCAGCGCCCCAGGGCGTCAGGGCGTCAGGGCGTCAGGGCGTCGGGGCGTCAGGGCGTCGGGGCGTCAGGGCGTCAGGGCGTCAGGGCGTCAGCGCCCAGGGCGTCAGGGCGTCAGGGCGTCAGGGCGTCAGGGCGTCAGGGCGTCGGGGCGTCAGGGCGTCAGCGCCCCAGGGCGTCAGGGCGTCAGGGCGTCAGGGCGTCAGCGCCCCAGGGCGTCAGGGCGTCAGGGCGTCAGGGCGTCAGGGCGTCGGGGCGTCAGGGCGTCAGGGCGTCAGGGCGTCAGCGCCCCAGGGCGTCAGGGCGTCAGGGCGTCGGGGCGTCGGGGCGTCGGGGCGTCAGGGCGTCAGGGCGTCAGGGCGTCAGGGCGTCGGGGCGTCGGGGCGTCGGGGCGTCAGGGCGTCAGGGGCGTCGGGGCGTCAGCGCCCCAGGGCGTCAGGGCGTCAGGGCGTCAGGGCGTCGGGGCGTCAGGGGCGTCAGGGCGTCAGGGCGTCAGGGCGTCAGCGCCCCAGGGCGTCAGGGCGTCAGGGCGTCAGGGCGTCAGGGCGTCAGGGCGTCAGGGCGTCGGGGCGTCAGCGCCCAGGGCGTCAGGGCGTCAGGGCGTCAGGGCGTCAGGGCGTCAGGGCGTCAGCGCCCCAGGGCGTCAGGGCGTCGGGGCGTCAGGGCGTCAGGGCGTCAGGGCGTCAGGGCGTCGGGGCGTCAGCGCCCCAGGGCGTCAGGGCGTCAGGGCGTCAGGGCGTCAGGGCGTCAGGGCGTCAGCGCCCCAGGGCGTCAGGGCGTCGGGCGTCGGGGCGTCAGGGCGTCGGGGCGTCGGGGCGTCGGGGCGTCGGGGCGTCGGGGCGTCAGGGCGTCAGGGCGTCGGGGCGTCGGGGCGTCGGGGCGTCGGGGCGTCGGGGCGTCGGGGCGTCAGGGCGTCAGGGCGTCAGGGCGTCGGGGCGTCAGCCTGGCTGGCCCGAGACAGAAGTTCGAGTTGTCGCCGTGCCAGCCTCGGTTTACATCAAAGATCTGCAGGCATCGCACAGAGAAAAGACGCCGCGTCTGCCTTGGCCCCCGACCCCGGCACCGTCACGCATGGGTCATGCTCATCAGTGTCGCGCGTGGTTCATGTCTGTCCCTGTCACGCGTGGCTCATGTCCGTCACTGTCAAACGTGGTTCTTGTCTGTCCCTGTCACGTGTGGCTCATGTCTGTCACTGTCACGTGTGGTTCCTGTCCGTCACTGTCACGCGAGGTTCATGTCTGTCACTGTCACGCGTGGTTCCTGTCTGTCCCTGTCACGCGTGGTTCCTGTCTGTCCCTGTCACATGTGGCTCATGTCCGTCACTGTCATGCGAGGTTCCTGTCCGTCACTGTCACGTGTGGTTCCTGTCTGTCCCTGTCACGCGTGGTTCCTGTCTGTCCCTGTCACGTGTGGCTCGTGTCCGTCACTGTCATGCGAGGTTCCTGTCCGTCACTGTCACGTGTGGTTCATGTCCATCATGATCACGCGTGGTTCATGTCCATCACTGTCACGCGAGGTTCATGTCTGTCCCTGTCACGCGTGGTTCCTGTCCGTCACTGTCACGTGTGGTTCCTGTCCGTCACTGTCACGCATGGTTCCTGTTCATCACTGTCACGTGTGGTTCCTGTCTGCCACTGTCACGTGTGGTTCCTGTCACTGTCACGCGAGGTTCCTGTCTGCCACTGTCACGTGTGGTTCCTGTCTGTCACTGTCATGTGAGGTTCCTGTCCGTCACTGTCACATGTGGTTCCTGTCTGTCACTGTCATGTGTGGTTCCTGTCTGTCCCTGTCACGTGTGGCTCATGTCCGTCCCTGTCACGCATGGTTCCTGTCCGTCACTGTCACGTGTGGCTCCTGTCCATCCCTGTCACGTGAGGTTCCTGTCCGTCACTGTCATGCGAGGTTCCTGTCCGTCCCTGTCACGCGAGGCTCCTGTCCGTCACTGTCACGCGAGGCTCCTGTCCGTCACTGTCACAGGGCTCATGCCAGCACAGGCTGGGACACGAGTGGGAGAGGACGACACGCACTCACATTCCACGCGCTTCTCTAGGGCTGCCAGGTGGTCCGCGACCTCGGCCTTCAGCTCGTTGATCTTGAATGCTCTGGGGAGAAGACGGCAGGTGAGACAGCGGCTCCAGGGCCACGCCCGGCCAGCGCAGGCCCACGAGGGTGGGCTCAGGGCGTCCCTGGGGGAGAGACTCAGACACCACGGCTGTGTCTCCCAGGACGGCGACAGCGCCCCGGCCTGCCCGCGGGTGGCACTGCTGGGCAGAATGGGGTCCTCCGATGCTGGACTCCGGCCGGCCCAGCCCCTCCCCGGCCTGGTCACTCCCCGGGTGCCTCAACCCAGGCGTGGGCTTAGAAATCGGTGGGTCCCTGTGCCCTTCCCCCAGGCCCGTGGCCCGAGAGGGCAGCTGCAGAAACTGCAGAGAGGGGGGCCCGGCCCGGAAGAAGGGGAGGCCCCGCGGGGGAGGCAGCTTTTAAAGAGACGCTGACTGCCTCCCAGCAGAGCCGCAGCCACACCAGGCCGTGCTCCGGGGCGACCCCTCCCTGCGGTCAGGCGAGCGTTTTCCGGACCCCACCCAGGCCAGCCTGCCCTCCACTCGAGCGGCTCCACGGTGCACCAGGCAGGCAGGCGACGTGGCCACGCCCGGCCCCCACGCCACACAGCGAGGGGCCACCTTCGCCAGGAAGAGGGATAGGAGACTCCAGGGGCCGTGCTGTGGTGTAGCAGGTGAAGCTGCCACCTGCGGGGCCGGCATCCCATATGGTGCTGGTTCGAGTCCCGGCTGCTCCACTTCCAGTCCAGCTCTCTGCTGTGGCCTGGGAAAGCAGTGGAGGATGCCCAAGTGCTTGGGCCCTGCACCCACGTGGGAGACCCGGATGAAGCTCCCGGCTCCTGGCTTTGGCCTGGCCCAGCCCTGGCTGTGGTGGCCGTTTGGGGAGTGGGCCCGCAGCAGGAAGACCTCTCCCTGACTCTGATTCTCCTTCTCTGTAACTCCTTCCCGTAAAGCAATCAAAGGAAAAGGCGTCGCCTACCTGGAGAACTGCTCTGCCACCTGCGCCAGCAGGCTCTGCACGAGCTCCTCTCTCTCTACGGAGCAAAGAGCAAAGACAGGTGGAGGCCGAGCAGCGCCCACGGCCCACCCCGCCCCGCCGGCCTCCCGGGGAGGGCCTTCCCGCCCACGGCCCACCCCGCCCCGCCGGGCCTCCCCGGGAGGGTCCTCCCACCCACGGCCCACCCCGCCCCGCCGGGCCTCCCCGGGAGGGCCTTCCCGCCCACAGCCCACCCCGCCCCGGCCGGGCCTCCCCGGGAGGGTCTTCCCGCCCGGCCTGCGGACCCCCGCGCACAGGCCCTCGGCAGCGCCCACGGCCCACCCCGCCCCGCCGGGCCTCCCCGGGAGGGCCTTCCCGCCCGGCCTGCGGACCCCCGCGCACAGGCCCTTGGCAGCGCCCACGGCCCCCGCCCCGTCCCCGGCTCCGGCCGCACACCGCAGGCAGGCCCGGGGCTCCAGGAACGGGAAGTTTTCCCTTCGCGTCCGGGCCCGTTTTATGGGGGGCAATTATGGTGACAGAGTGAGCTCCAGGCAGGTGCCCGGTGCCAGACACCGCGTCCTCAGGGTGGCTGCAGGGAGGAAACAGCGGGGTGCGGCGGGTTTGCTCCTCTGTGGCCTGGCCCGTGAACCTGGGCTGGGCGGCCGGGGCTGTGAGGCTCCAGTCCCAGGCTGACCGGCAGCCGCCTCGCTCCCGCCGGCCCTGACCAGGCCCACAGACGGGCAGGAGGTCAGAGCGCCGTTTCCATGGCGATTCTTGGCCCTTGGGGGAGCGAGGGCTCCTGCACCCCACCGGCCGTTGGCTCAGGCCGTGCAGCCCCAAGGATCCACACAGGTGTGGGCCTGAACTCGCCCACCAGGAGCAACACACACGGGACCTGGCCAGGCCCGGGAATCCAATTTGGCAAAGGGACTCAGAGACTCAAAATGTCCCATGTTGGGACCCAGCGACGCGTTTCCAGGCACGAATCACGCGTGTCCACACAAAGTGCTCAGCCACCCTAGGGGTCGACAGCGATGACAGCCTGGTACCGGGAACCCCCGCTGGGAGAAACAGCGGCTCAGAACGCGCGTGTCTGGTGCTAAAGTCAAGGGAAAACTTGTTGGAGAGCAGCGACACACAGGACTTCAGCTTCGCCCTTGTCGTCTGGATCGTCCACAATGAACCGACATTCATTCCACCAAAAGAAAACAAATTCGGCTCACGAATCTCAACCAAGCTCTCGAGACCGCCCCGTGTCGCCGGCCCGAGTCCCGGTGATTCACGTCCCCGGAGCTCGCAAGCGGGGCCCCGGGGCCCGACAGCACTTCCGGTTCCCGCCTCCGCCCCGTCCGTCAGTTATGCAGCTTCCTCCTGGGGCCGGACAGCGAGACCCGGCTCCTGACTCACCCTCTGGACCCCCACGCCCCCAGGGACCAGGGACCCCGAGTCACAGCAGCACCTCCTGCTGCTCCTGCCCGCTGCCTCTGGACCCCCAGGAGGGGCCCCCCCAGGGGAGCTGCGGGAGCAACGCCCTGGGCCCAGGAAGGAGGCTGGCCCGTGTGCCCCCACCCCGGGGCGGCGGGGACCTGGGCCCGTAAGGACGCCATCTCCCCCCCCCCCCTTTTTTTTTTTTGACAGGCAGAGTGGACAGTGAGAGAGAGAGACAGAGAGAAAGGTCTTCCTTTGCCGTTGGTTCATCCTCCAATGGCCGCCGCGGCCAGTGCACCGCGCTGATCCGAAGGCAGGAGCCAGGTGCTTCTCCTGGTCTCCCATGGGGTGCAGGGCCCAAGCACCTGGGCCATCCTCCACTGCACTCCCGGGCCACAGCAGAGAGCTGGCCTGGAAGAGGGGCAACCGGGACAGAATCTGGTGCCCCGACCGGGACTAGAACCCGGTGTGCCGGCGCCGCTAGGCGGAGGATTAGCCTACTAAGCCGTGGCGCGGGCCTCCATCTCCCTCTGTCTCCCTCTGTCTCCCTCCCCAGCACTCCAACAGCCGCGAGCTCAAAGCTGCCGAGGACGGACCAAGAGCCACGGCCCCAGCTCTGCCTCCCGCGACCCAGCGAGCAGAGAGGAGGTGTTCTGCTCTGTGCTCTGGAACCACACAAGTAAAACGGCAGCCGAGGGGTGTCCCAGCCGGCCGCTCGGGCACCAGGGGCTCCCACGGCTCCCACCGCCTCGGGGAGCCCAGGGCCGGCTCACTCTGGGATCCCTAGAGCAGCACACACACGCTTCCAGGAGCTCACGGCCTCGACGTCCCAAGGCTCACGGCGGAGTCCATCAATCGACACTGACAGTGGAACACACGTGGCTTCAATCAGGCACAAGTCCACCTGGTCCCCCGCCGGGCCCACGAGGAGCTCAGTGAAGCGACCGACACGAGGCAGCGCGGGCTCTCTGACCCCACGGAGCCAAGCCAGAAATGAAGGCGGCAGGACGCCCTCCAGACGCTCAGAGGCCGACGAGGACGTCCCCAGGGAAACCCGAGAAGACATCAGACGCACCGCATGGAAACGTGGCTTCGGGCAGGGCCGAGGCAGCCCACCGTGGTCCCTCCACACGGGGACACTGCCCGGCCATGGACAGCAACGAGACTGACGCCTACAGCACGGACGGGTCCGGCTGGTCCCCAAAGTTACCTACCGGAGGCCTGTGCTTCCAGAACATTCTTGCCACAGTAACATTATGAAAAGGGGGGCCGGAGCCATGCTGTAGCAGGTTAGGGACCGGCCTGAGGTGCCCACATCCTATATGGGCACCAGTTCGAATCCCAGCTGCTCCACTTCCGATCCAGCTCTCTGCTATGGCCTGGGATAGCAGTAGAAGATGGCCCACGTCCTTGGGTCCCTGCACCTGCATGGGAGACCTGGAAGAAGCTCCTGGCTCCTGGCTTCAGAGGGCCCAGCTCCGGCCGTTGCAGTTTGGGGAGTGAATCAGCGGATGAAGACCTCTCCTTCTCTCTCTCTCTCTCTCTCTCTCTCTCTCTCTCTCTGTAACTCTACCTCCAAGTAAATAAAGAAATCTTTTAAAAAAATTTTGAAAAGGGAGCAGAGATGCGTGGCTGCTGGGGTCACAGGGTGGGCGGGGAACAGAAGGGAAGTGGGTGTGGCCACAGAGGGGCAGCGTGAGGGCTCCTGCTGGGGACAGAATGGCCTCTCTCTGCCAGACCCTGGCTGCGCTCCTGGGCTGAGGGTTCGCGAGGTGTCCCCGGCAGGGCAGGCCTCTCGCTGATGCCTGCTTTTACGGCTGCGTGTGGGCCCACGCCGGCCTCACGACAGAGTGGAGCCAGACAAGGCAGCGCTCTCCCCGGCCCCCGAGGTGGGACCCCGCCAAGCTCTGTCAGATTCTCACGCCAGCAGCTGCACTCCAAGCCCGTCTCTTCCCAGCCCAGTGCCAGGACCGGCATTTATGCTGTGGTCCGCGCGGGGGCTACGGCGAGCCTTGTGCAGCCCATGCCTGCCGTCAGCTGCCCCCAGCAGGGCTCAAGGTGCCGGTGAGAACACCCAGGGGGCCACGGCCCGGGTGGAGGCACCGGCGCCTGCGCAGTCTCTGCCGCGGGCACGGTGGATGATCCATCTCCTTGGGGAACACGGGGTGTACGTTCTTTCCCCAGATGCCCGAGCAGAGGCCAGCGACACCCACACGACCCCAGCACAGCCCTGCTCCCGAGCCGGAGCCCCTCCCCCTCCCTGCACAGCCACGCCTGCTGCGGCCACGCCTCCTCCCTGGGGACTTCACACTGAAAACCGACAGCGAGACGGTGCACAGGCAGAGCTCAGGATGGAGCCCAGCCCACGGGAGCGCCAGCCCACGTCAGCCACAGGCTCTGGCAGTCACGGGCTCCGTCTGATATGGGCTCCACCTGTCAGTCACGGGCTCCACCTGTCAGTCACGGGCTCCACCTGTCTGTCACAGGCTCCGTCTGTCAGTCACGGGCTCCGTCTGTCAGTCATGGGCTCCACCTGCCAGTCACGGGCTCCACCTGTCAGTCACGGGCTCCACCTGTCAGTCACGGGCTCTGTCTGTCAGTCACAGCTTCTGCCTGGCACGTCTGTCTCGCTTCACTGCCCCCACGTGCACATGGTCAGTGGGGGGGTCGGGCCAGCTCCGGGCACTGCCTCCAGGCTGAGAAGCAGGGGTTCCTGCATGAATGTCCCCAATGAGCTCTTTGTCCCCGCGGTACCTGGGGGACCTCAGGGAACCTGAAAGTCCCAGGTTTGGGGATAACAAGCCACTCTGCGCTGCAAACGTCAACAATGGCCCCAGCACAGACCATGAACAAAACCCGACAGGACACAGGACCCCTCGGCTGCCACCCACGGCTGCAGGGCCCACCGGGGTTCCTGGCCCAGAAGCACACTCAGGGGTCTCGCTCTGAGGGTCTTCTCGGGCGTGGGCCTCAGCAGCTGTAGGCAGGGCGTGGGGCGTCACGGAGGACGCGAGTGCGTCTGCAGGGCCTCTCCAGGCCTCCGGGTCTTCGAGAGAAATGGGCGGAGCAGAGACCAGGGTGGGAGGAAGGGACACCCACAGGAGCCACGCGCGCTGGGCAGGACGGCGGGCAGGGACCCACAGCCGCTCTCTGAACACAGCCATCGCAGGAGGTTAGCTGACCACAGGAGGCCGTGCCCAGGAGCCTGGACCCACGCACGCTCCGCCGCACTCCCTGGCACCCTTGTCGGCGAATGCCGGGACACCCCAGGGTCGTCCTCACAGCAGGGCTCGGAGCAGGTGCGTGGCAGCCTCAGCGAGTCTGGGCAGCTGCTGGCCACACAGGCCTGACTCGCACAGCTGACCGCACTGGGGGCCTCCCCCATGACATGCGGGCAGGCACCGGAGCTGCCGCGGTCCCCTCCCGGCAGGAGAGGGCTCAGTTCGGTTCTACGCTATCCCGGAGGGCTGTGGAGCCTGGCTGTGGTCTTTAGGGTGGGGCCGAGGATCTGCCACCCTGGGGCCCAGGGTTTGTCCCTCACAGAGCCGAGGGGGTTGGGGTAGCCCCGCCCCAGGGGGATGGATGCGAATCTAATGGGGCTGCCGGCCCCAGGTTCCCCGGGCAGGGCTC